TTTTTTTTTTTTAATGTAAAAATTTTAAACATTAGCAGGTCAGGTTTTTGTTTTGTTTTGTTTTGTTGAGACAGGGTCGCACTGTATAGTTGAGACTGACCTAGAGCTCACTATGTAGCCCAGGCTGGTATCAAACTGTGATCCTCCTGTCTCAGCCTCCCGAGTGATGGGATTATAGGCATGCGCCACCACACCAGCCTGGCAGGTCAGTTTTTAAAAGCTGAACATTTGGGAAACCACACAGGGAATCACTACTGTAACCTTGGGTCTCCTTCTTTGACTTGAAGGGAGTGGAAGGATCAACCATGTCTGGTCTCTTCGAGGCTTTCTCCCAGTTTGCATTCAGCCTGGCTTCCCCAGGCCTGGGAATGCTGTCACTGCTGCCACACCCCACCTGACACTCAAGGATCCCAGCTCTGACCTGATGTTCTCATTGGGCGCCTTCCCGTATCTCTTGATAGCGGAGCACTCATTCTTGTGGTTCAGCCAGGCGTCCTTCTGGCAGGTGCGGTCACAGTAGTGGGCGAACTTGCACTGCCCGCAGCGATGGAGCTTCTCCTGCCTCTTAAAGCAAGTGTGGCACACAAAGTTCACCAGGCTGGAAAGGCAGGGAGAGAATGCGTGGTTACTAATATGCTAGACAAACTAAAGAAAAGAGATTTATCTTGGCTCACATTTCAGGTCCACATCTGGCAGTGTCCCAAGGTGACACAGGACATCACAGGGTAATAGGCAAGAAGCATACATGTCCGTGTGTGTCTCCTCTGTTCTCTCCCTCTTCTAAAGCCACCAGGATTCAACTGTGGGGGCTTCATGCTGATGATGTCACCTAATCTTAATCACTTTCTGAAGTCCCCAACTCTAACCACAATAGCCAGGTTGTCCCCATCCTCTTAATACCTCACAGTGGGGATTAAATTTCATGCATGAACCTTTGGGGGATATACTTGAGCCACGTTCAAACCATAGCAGGGAGCACAGTGGGAAGGACACTATAATGGGTTCTCAGTGGGATGCTCCTGGTCTTTCTTTTTTTTTTTTTTTTGGTACCAGGGATTGAACTCAGGTCCTTGGGCTTGTGAGGCAGGAGGCAGGACCACTGAACTAAATCCCCAGCCCTGCTCCTGGTCTTTCTAAACTTCAGGTCCCCACTTTTCAAAATGAGTGACTTGAGTTTCCAAAGTTCCCTTTAAATTATAATTGGTCCTGAACTACGGGCCTCCTCTGGAGCCGCACTGTTTCCAGCAGAGGCCAGTGATTCTCTCTGACACAGAGCCAGTGGGGTGAGTTTTGCATCAGCGGCCGGCTTGGGACTCAGAGCCACCTCTGCTTCGCAGCCCGGCCCGAACTACAGGCCTCCTCTGGAGCCGTGCCCATTCCAGTAAGCGCCACTGATTGGCTCTGACACAGCGCCAGGAGGGTAGCCCCCCCCCACACCCTGCTATTAGATCCCCTGATTGAGCCAGTCCTTGGATGCACTCTGCAGAGGCATGGTGGGCTATAAAGGGTGGTGATTGATCCTATTATGTTCCTGATTGTATTGATAGGGACAAAGGGTAGGGATTGATTTGATAAGTTGTTTTCTCAATTATGAAAATGAGAATGTCTATAAGTTATTAGAGAATCAAAGACTGGGACACAATGATATCAGGAAGATTTAATGACCCAGAGATTGAATCAAGGGCAACCCAACAGCAAAAATAAAGATGAGAAAACACTTAAGCAACCCACAAAAACAGACTTCCAGTCCACCAATGGCAAACAGTAGGGCAAAGGAGGATGAAAAATCAGATAGTGAACCTCCAGGACACTCAGAACTCACAGCACAGGAAGTAAAAAACTGATCAATCAAGCTCTAGAAAAAATTCAAAACAGAAATTATTTCCCAAATAACCATAGAGATGGTGAGCAAAATGAAAGACATGATTCAAGGCTCCAGAACAGAAACTGACAAAAAAAATACATGAGCTTAGGAACATAATAGAAACCATGAAGGCCCAGAATAAGAAAGAAATGGAAACAATGAACACCCAACACAGGAAAGCAATGGAATCCATTAAACAGATTCAAATGGATATCCAGGAGATTAAAAACTCTATTGAAAGCATATTCAACAGAATAAAAGATTGCAAGAATAGAATCCCAGATATAGAAGATAGGATCGCAGACAGTGACCAAGAAAAGAGAGGTCTCTTAAAAACAGTAAGGGAACATGAGAAATCAATCCAACAACTCCTAAATGATGCAAAGAAGAATAACATAAGACTGATAGGTATCCATGAAGTACCAGGAGAAAATGCAAATGACTTAAAAAAAGCTGTTCAAAGAATTAATAACTGAAAATGTCCCAAACAGAGGGGAAGAATTAGACATACAGATAAGCGAGGCATATAGGACACCAACTAGTCACGATCAAAAAAAAATCTACACCTAGACATATAATAATCAAGATCCCAGAAACCCAACAGAACAAAATACTACAAGCAGTAAGAGAAAAGAAACAAATCATATGCAAAGGAAAGCCCATCAGAATCACAGCAGACTTTTCAACACAAACCCTTAGGGCAAGGAGAGCCTGGAGTGAGATATTTCAAGTACTAAAAGAGAACAACTTCCAACCTAGACTGATTGTATCCTGCAAAACTCTCTTTCAAATTAGATGGGGAAATAAGATACTTCCACGAGAAAGAACACCTGAGAAACCACATGAATACCAAACTAGCACTGCAAGCAATTCTAAACAAGATCCTAGAAAAAAACAATGAAGGCAACAACACCATGAGGCTCAACAGAGCAAATCAAACAGGCAAAGCAAGAAACTAAAAGGAGAAGGTGAAAAAGTAAAGAGTCAACAAAAGGCCAATAACATGACAATAATAAGTCAGTACACATCAGTTATAACCATCAATGTCAATGGCCTCAACTCACCAATCCAGAGAAACAGACTGGCAAAATGGAATAAGAAGCAAAATCCAACAATATGTTGTATACAAGAAACACACCTAGTGCAAAAAGAAGCCCATAGACTGAAAGTGAAAGGATGGAAAACAATTCTCCATGCAACAGGAGCCCAGAAAAAAGCAAGAGAAGCAATCTTACTCGCAGACAAAGCAAACTTCAAACCAAAACTGATTAAGAGAGACAAAGAAGGCCACTACCTCCTTGTAAAGGGAACAATCCAAGAGGAAGAAATGACAATCATAAATATATATGCTCCAAATATAAATGCCCCCAACTATATAAAACAAATATTAAGTAATGTGAAAAACCAAATAACCACTAATACAATTGTAGTGGGGGATCTGAATACCCCACTATCACAAATAGACAGATCATCTAGGCAAAAAATCAACAGTGAAATACTAGAACTGAACCAAGCTTTTGAACGTATGGACTTATTAGACATCTATAGAGTGTTCCACCCACAAAATCAGAATATACATTCTTTTCAGCTGCACATGGGTCATTCTCCAAGATAGATCACATACTAGCTCACAAAACAGGTTTGAATAAATGCAAAAGAACTGAAATTATTCCCTGTATATTATCAGATCACAGTGCAGTAAAGCTGGAGATCAATAGCATAAGAAACCGTAGGAACTTCACAAACACATGGAAATTGAATAACACTCTCCTGAACAATCAATGGATAATAGAGGAAATTAAAGAAGAAATCAGACAGTTTTTACAAATAAACAAAAATGCCAATACAGCATACAGGAATCTGTGGGACACAATGAAAGTAGTTCTAACATGGAAAATTCATAGCACTGAATGCCCACATTAGGAAAACAGAGCAAGCTCAAATAAACAACCTAATGATGACTCTTAGACTTCTAGAAAAACAAGAGCAAGAAAAACCCAAAGCTCGAACAAGAGAAGAAATTATAAAGATTAGAGCAGAAATCAATGCAATGGAAACTAAGAAAATGATACAAAAAAATAAATGAATCAAAGAGTTGGTTTTTTGAAAGAATAAATAAAATTGATAAACCCTTAGCAAACCTTATCAAAAAAAGGAAAGAAAATGCTCAGATTCATGCAATCAGGAATGAAAAAGGCGAAGTCACAACAGATCCCACAGAAATTCAGGGGATCATTAATACATACTATGAGAACCTGTACTCTAATAAAATGCAAAACACAGAAGAAATTAACAGATTTCTAGATACTTATTAATTACCAAAGTTGAACGAAGAAGATAAAAACATTTTAAATACCCCAATCACAATCAGTGAAATTGAAAATGTGATTAAAAACTTACCAACAAAGAAAAGCCCAGGTCCTGATGGATTCACTGATGAATTTTACAAGATATTTAGAGAAGATCTACTGCCATTACTCTTCAGACTTTTCAACGAAATTGAAAGAGAAGCAATACTACCAAATTCATTCCTGGAAGCAAATATCTCTTTGATTCCCAAACCTGGGAAAGATGTAACTAAAAAAGAGAACTACAGGCCAAATTCCTTAATGAATATAGATGCAAAAATCCTCTATAAGATACTAGCAAACAGAATACAGAGGATCATCAAGAAGATCATACATCCTGACCAAGTCGGATTTATTCCAGGGATTCAAGGATGGTTCAACATATGTAAATCAATAAATATAATACACTATATTAACAAAGTCAAGGACAAGAACCACATGATCCTTTCGATAGATGCAGAAAAAGCATTTAACAAAATTCAACACCCATTCATGATAAAAAACTCTGCAAAAAATTGGAATAGATGGTCTATGTATCAACTTAATAAAGGTTATCTATGAAAAACCAACAGCCAACATCATATTAAATGGCCAAAAACTGAAAACCTTCACATTAAAATCAGGAACAATACAAGGATGCCCACTATCACCACTCCTCTTTGATATAGTTCTGGAAACATTAGCCATAGCAATTAGACAAGAGAAAGAAATTAAAGCAATAAAAATAGGAAAGGAAGAAGTTAAACTGTCATTATTTGCTGATGATATGATACTCTACATTGAAGACCCAAAAAACTCCACCAAGAGACTTCTCGACTTAATTGATACTTTTAGCAGAACAGCTGGATACAAGGTCAACAAGCAAAAATCAACAGCCTTCTTGTACATAAACAACAGACTCACTGAGAAAGAAATTAGGGAAACAATTCCTTTCACAATAGCACCCAAAAAAATGAAGTATCTGGGAATCAATCTAACAAAGGAAGCAAAAGACCTCTACACTGAAAACTACAGCACTCTGAAAAAAGAGATCAAAGAGGATATAAGAAAATGGAAAGCTATCCCCTGCTCCTGGGTAGGAAGAATCAACATAGTG